AGGAAAGCCTTGACATCAAAAGGGCTGTGCTGATACGAGAAGGTTTTGGGAACCTTTGGGGCTTTCGGAGCAGGCACTGCGAGGGTGCTTTGGAGCACTGCCCTTCGCAGCGTGGTTTTTAATTGGGTCCCTTTGCACCTGATGAGAATTCCACTTTTGACTTTAATTAATAACAAAAAAAATCTGACTTTTTTTTTTTTCTAAGCAATGCTGGTTTTTTTCTTACAAGCTGTAGAGAGAGCAGGGAATGTGTTAGGTGAGGCTGGTTCACGTGCTGGGCGAGCAGGAGGCTGCTTTTCTCTCTTGTGGGAAGAAGCCGTAGTGCTGATGCTTTCTGCCGTGTTTTGGGATGTGTGCATGTGTGTAAACAACAAGGGAGTTAAATAAGATGGTTAATGCTCACTGAAACTGCAGGTTCCCTTCAAAAATATTCATTTATAACCAACTGTATCCAGCTGCTGCAGAAATACCAGTAGAAAAGAAACGTATTATAGGAAAACGTCAGTGAATCTGAGTTTTCTCTGCTTCTCACCAGTCTTCTGTTCGTTAGAATCAATTTGAAAATGTTCGTAAGACTTTGAAGGCGGCCCCTTGCCTTCTCCGAAAGGGACCAGACCCCACAAAACTCGTCCTGCAGGGATTCACAGACAACTGCTGGGCTCTCCATCCTCAAAGTGATGCTTTCCCATGACATCCCAATTCTCTGCTGTATAAACCGTGATTTTTTATCCCGTGTCTTATGCAGCTTCTCTCAGAACCCTTTCACATTTCATGTTGAGATCATTAGTTAAATGAACGGTTATTTTCATGATCTGTTTCTGAAGAATTTCAGCCTGATGCTCCTAGTTTCTTATTCCTAAAGGGAATGTCATTTTCCCCCTTAAACAATACCGCCATATGCTGAAGCTGTGAAATCACCATTTTCTCGCACCTAACAGTTTCCACAGTTGTGCTATTTTAATGTTTTATCAAAGAGATGAGATCTATTGCACTCTCCTCTTCTGTTGGGTTTCCTTCATGTAAAAGACCTCTTTATCGAATAAAAATATCCCATTAGTCTGCTGCACTTTGTATTACCTTCCTCCAACTTTTAAAGTTGGTTCAAAGCCTTTCATTCTCTTGTGGGCAGGGTGGTTAGTCTGAAACCTGCCCGATTCGCTCTCGGCGTTTCCTGACGTGTAGATAACACATTTCTCATTTACCAGCCACCTGGCATCACTTTTAGGTTGTTTAGAAAAACTCCACATGCTCCTGGGTTTGCAGTGTCATGCTCTCAAACGTTGACTCCACCAAGGTTTTTCTCTGCCTTTTCCCATGTGCTGGGCGTCACCTTCCTTACGGAAAACTGGAGTTGGTGCTCAGCTGGTTTTTGAGCCGGGGTTAAACGTCCTTAAGCTTCACAGTGCGGTTCTCCTCGTCCCGGCGGGCAAGTGAGCAACGTGAGAGGCAAAGCTATTTTAGAGAGCAACCACAAACGTTTCCTGGGACGCAATACAAATTATTGACCACAGCAGCACACCGCGGTGCTTAATTACCTTAGGAGAAGGTTGTACTTCTCCAACGCCCGGGTGGCTTTTTTTTTTGGCTGCATATCTGCAGAAAAGATTTTCAATTAACATTGACCTTTAGTACTCCGACTGGTTTTTGAATCTACACATGGTGGAACGGACTACAAATTAGATTTTGCAACATCCCTTGTTCTTTGTATTTCCCCACTGATTAGTTCCAGGCAGTCTGCACTACCTGTGCCGGGCTGTTCCGCTCGCAGTGCCCTCGCAACCTCCGGCGCCGTGTTCAACCCCCCGAGATGTTGTGTAGAAATGCTGTCAAACTCTTCAGATAGTCGTGTTTTCGTTCTCCAGCTGTACTTTTTACTCAATGTGTAGAAACAAAGTCTCTACTTTATGGAGGGGTATTTTTTGAACTCAAATTCAGAAGGAAAGGAATCTCTCTAGGGTACATCTGCACCAGATTGTAGGGGTGGTGTTACACACCGAGCTCTGATTAAGATGACTATTATACCCCAAAGAGCACTACTTTTGGTTATTGTTCTAATAATAATTGTAAAGAAGCTTAAGCATGGCATAATAAACAAATCATATTCATTTGAGTCACTACCATGCCAAAGATGTTTTCAAAAATATTTAGTACAACTATGCCTTATAGTTCATTGTTGTCCTCAGCAGGGAAATCCGTGCTAATTGAATGTATGTTTGCTTTAAATGAGATGTCTTGAATATGATTAGCAACGACAAACCTAATAACCTTTTGAAAAGAAAACAATATTGGTTTGGATTCTCAGATGTCATTACAGGTTTTGGTGGAAATTCCCCTGATTCCTTAACGAAGGAAGCAGAAGTTTATTGTGTTTTAGAGAAAAGGGCAGTAATCCTGCACAGGCACCTGCGCCGACTCCTGATCCTGATGGGCCAAAACTGGAGCAGAAAGGGCTGCTCCGATGAAATCACTGAGTCCAGTTCAGAAATAACTGAGACTTTCCACCTGCTGCTCCACTGACTACTCGCAGCAGGAAAATCAGACAGGAGTGACACGGCAGAAAAATATGTTTATGTTTATTGTGTGTTTGTAAGACAGACTTTTGGTTTTGTGATGATTTGTGACTTGACAAATGACTCATGTTTTGAGATTCAACTCTAATAACTTATAGCTGTATCCAGTCTAAAAATCGGTACCAAGTTAATGATATTTTAAAGCTCCTACGTTTTCATACTTACGGTTTCATCTTTTTTCCCAGGTGTTACTTGGAAGATGGAGCTTCCAAAGGTGCCTGGCTGAATAGGTCGAGTATTATTTTTGCTGGAAGCGATAAGTGGTCAGTAGATCCTCGAGTCTCAATCGCAACAGCGAACAGAAGAGAATACAGCCTGCAGATACAGGACGTAGACGTGACGGATGACGGTCCGTACACTTGCTCTGTGCAAACTCAACACACTCCGAGAACGATGCAGGTGCACTTAACTGTACAAGGTAGGTGTTTAAACCCATTGCCAAGCGTTATTGGAGATGTACTAGGAAAAACTAGTTTATAGATGGGAAACATCAGCTAAGCACGTTTTAAAGCTTTGTTTTTTCTTTCTTTATTTCTTTTCTCTGGATGCATGTAGCCGTAGACCGTATGTGCCATTGGCTCTGGGCTCCTGTGAGTACGTAATTAGCCCAAAAGGGTCTCCAGCTTGCCAAAATCGGGTTTAAATCCCACTCCTGCTCTGCTGACAATTGAACAAGATGTAAAAATATAAGAGGGAAATACCAGTACAAGAGTGGAGGTGGTGTTCCCTGCAGTGGTACCCTGCAGGTATCTGTCAGTCGTGTGCAGGTCTCCTGCGTGGCTCCAAATTTGGTTGGTTTTCATAGTGTCCAGCCCACTCACCGTGGAAAGGTGCACACTCAGGTGCTGAGCTCACGGAAGGTTTGCAGCCTTTCCATTTTAACACCGACACCAAATATTACCAGAAACATCCTCGTGTTAACTTCAAACAAGAGAAAGCAAAATAAGCTGATTTGGCATTAAAATCCACAGGTTTTGTTTCTTCCAGACCAGTTTTCTCACAGAATCACTAAGATCCCAATATCATTAATAAGAACCGTCTATTTACTTCCACAGGACAGTTTTCTGTTTAAGTGTTGCAGAACAAGTGTCAGTTTGACACACATGGAGGTACTATTTATTGTCTTGTTCCGGGCTGAACAATTTTTAGTTTTGATTATCTTTGTAATAGTTAATGCCCTCTGCAAAGGGCTAGGAAAAAAAGTTGGAAATTAATTGCATGTATAAAACATATAAACAGGAGCTTAAAATTAATTAGGCTAACTACAAGTATATAGAGAAATAATAACTTAATAGTTAAAAATATGCATAATTATTAAGCGATTGCATTTATATCTTCAGAAATGCAAAGTATAACCTAAGGCTTTAACTTATTAGTCTTTGGTGTAATCATCATTAACATTTTCGTTTGCATTTTTATGAGTAATAAAGCAATGAATATAAAACAGGAGAATTTAAATGGCAATCTCTAGTGATCCATATGGCACACCAGAATCCCTTACACATAACGTGTATGAAACGCCTCTCAAATTAATTATTCTTAACCACTGGACCTTTAGACCCCGCTGGTTTGTAAGACTGTTAGACTGTCGCTTTGTAAGGGCTGAGGGTGTTTGTTGCATTAAGATCATTATTTTATTAGTGCAGCCAAAACGCCATCACTTACTCATTTTTATAACCTTCCTCAGAGGCGGCCGTTGGGTGCAGACCCATATGGGAACTATTTACGTGGGTGGGGGTCGGGGATTGCAGAGGCATTTGGATCCTGTCGAATCGGGAAGCTGGAACGAAGAAGCCGTGACAGTATCAATTATTATTCCAATTCTATATATTCAATTACTCCGATATTATTTCAGTTATATTTTATGTAGGAAGTAGGGATCAGCTCCGTGAAGCGTAGCCAGAACGAGGGAGCCATTCTCAAGATAAAGCAAAAACCCATCAGCATCCCTGTGTTGTCTCCCATGTAGTTCTCTTGGCACTTGGGCAGAAGGGGAAGGTGCTGAGCTCCCCGCTTCCAGAGAGGTCCTGCACCCACTGAGCCGCGGAGCGGGATCAGCAGCTCTGGAGGCTGCTCCATCCCGTCTTGGTGATGATCAGGGCCGTTTCTTTCCATTCCAACTCCTATCTTTATGTACCTATTACTGTAGATATTAATGATTACCAGCCGTGCAACAGGCGCCCAGCGGGTCGGGTGTGAGTCACACCCATCACTCCTCCCGCACCGGTGGGATCCCACCTGGAATCAACATTGGGTTTGACAGTCATTTTGGGCAACCCATGGCACTTACTGCTGTCGTTACCTCCCCCGTGGGCCCGGACGGGACTGGTGTGCGTGCCAGCACTTCTGATCGGGTCGCTCTGTACTTGCACTGCTCATAAAGCCATCGCTTCCCCTTCCGAGTGCGGAGACTCGGGAGGTAAGGGCGTGAGATTCACGCATCCTTTGAGATGGAGTTGACCTGTCTGAAAGTAACCGAGACTGTAAAGGCAACATCAAACAGCTAATTGGTGCTACAAGCTTATGTGTCCTTTCCCGCTGAATAGGGTTCACGTGGATGATATAATAACGTTTTATGGAAGCAGTTTTATGTTTCCTTTTCATATTGTTCATGGCTTTGTATTTCAAGATTAGAAACAACTTCTGCTATTGGGGAGAAATAAATGAAGGGAAAAGCAAGTCTTTAGCCAAAGTAAAATCATTCGGTCAAAGGGTTTCCTTTTACGCTGTGAATAAATGATCAGCAGCAGACCTAGAGCAGCACATGAAATAACGGGAGAAAAAGAGAATTTAAAAGCAAAGTCTTAGCCCTTTAAAATTCCTCTGCCCTAGAGACGGTGTTCTGTCGAGTAACGTTGAAAGAAGACGTTCTGCTGAAAGCAGCAGAGCCGGAGGAGCCGAGAGTGTGTGCAGTGTGTCACAAATTAAAGGAATAAAGGTGTACGTCTGATCATAAGCTCCCAAATAGGTTCAAACTCCAGATTGCAAAATTATTTGCTGTGAAGCTCCACTTTAGAAGCCCTGTAAATCCCATTCTCTCATTTTTTCCTCTTTTTTTGGTGTGTGTGAGAGCTCTTTCTATGCACACAGACCTGATAGCTGTCGTTTTGAGTATCCCCTTTTATTTGGGGTGACAATTTCTGAACACATTCATGCAAGTGTTTCAGAGAATACATACATTTTAATGGGTTAAAGATGCCTTAATTTCCACGACATAGAAAGGGGACACGGTCAGTAACTAAAGTGGCTGAAGGGAAGCAGGAGCCTCTCCATCGCTGCCGATGTGCAGATACAGGGAGCAGCGAGACCTGGTGGGGTTTGGCCACAATCGGTCAGGAATCTCTGGCAGAGCTTGAAGTGGAGTTTCAATCTCCCAAATCCCTCCTCGATGCCTTAATGAGACCACCAAGTCCAGATCACTGTTACTTATTACATAGTTACACCATTTCATACTAGGAAAATTAATCAAGATAGTTAATAAAAAAAGAAAAAAGCCTAATGTGTCTTTGCACTTACATCAGTGAAAGAAAAATCACATGAAAGAGAGGAAGATAATCCAGTTAACTTTATTTTGGTGACCTTATTAAAAGGAAGTGAGAATTATGAAGTAATTAATTAAAAGTTTAAAAGGTAGGAGTTTGTAATCAACACAGTCTGCCTCAGTGCCAGATGCTCCATCTGCAAAGTCATGAACTGCAGATGATTTAGACATCAGATGTTTGCCACAGTAAAGTAAAAAAAATGAAACACCTCTTACCACACTGTATCGCTCGTCATTTTTCTAGCAAAAGGTTGCAATTTCTGCCATTTCTAATCTGACATTTATTCTACCAGAGTTTAAATTGCATCCTCCAAGCTGTGTTTCCTTTTCAATTTGCAAAAACATTAAGACACGTTTACCAGTGTCCTTGGGAATTGATTTTGCCGTGGGGCAGAATAACAGGTCACAGCCCAAACTCTCCGGTTCTCCCCGTGCGTCAGGATGCAGTAAGGATGCTCCTGGACTGTGCGGGAAAGGGAAACTCAGGCTTCTTGTCTGTGACTCCTGGGAGATGGAGGCCGGAACAGGGTGTTCCGAAGGAGTTCAGCCGCCGAGGGAGGGCTACCAGGGAGGGCTACCAGGGAGGGCTACCAGAGAGATGGGGAGAGTGAGAACACGTCTGAGAGAGCGGGCGTTGTTTAGCCTGGCAGGATGGGGCTCCGGGGGAATTTTGTTATGCTTTATTAATACACTTGGTGTGGATCCCAGAAAGGGAGAACGAAAATATAGGCTGATGGAGAGCATTTTTACAAGATTAGGCAAATATACCTTAGGCACGTGTGAGTTCTAACGTGAGATGAGGGAAGGTGCCGGTCCCCATCGCGTTGCGGGTGGGCTGCCCAGGGAGTGGCCGGGGCTTGGCACAGCAGTTCCCGCGGCGCTGGTGGGGCAATGGTGACCGTGACGTGGGTGAGCGAGGTTTGTGACCGTGGTCTTCCTAACAACGGGGTTAATGATCCACCAGCTCTGTCTGTCTCCTGGAACGTGACCGAGGAGCCCGGCGAGCTCCTGGTGAGAGCAGCACCAGGATCCGCTGGCACCGTGTGGATCCAGGGTTTTTTTCAAGGCTGTGTTTTAGTCTGCCATGGATACACAGCTCCAACAGGTCCCTGGCTTAGGCTTTGAGGTGTTGATGACAGGTCTCATTCCCTTTGCCACCCCATGTCTCCCACTGCCCGTGCTCTGCGCCCCCTCGCTTACCCCCCTGCACCCTCTGCCGTCCCCGTCCCGCCAGAGCCGCGCTCCCAGTTACACCCGTGCTTCCCGTCACCGCCAAAACACCGACACTGGGGAAGTGGTGGCACAAAATCTTTCTTACATGAGTTACTCGACACCTTAATTTGTACTTTACTGTCACAGCTGCCCCGGGACAGACCCTGTGCACGCGGGACATGGCTCCTGCTCCCCTCCTGCCCTCTGCGTCGTCTCGTTTCTGTGCGTGATCTGCACTTGGCACCGCGTGCCATTTATAGACTCCGTCAGAAATCACAACCTATGGTTTTCATTTAAACATGTATAATATTTCCAACGTAATACTCAAGGCCCTTTTTCTGTTTAACAAACCTCCTTAATGTCCCCTAAATATTAATGTATTGATTTAGTCTTTGCAATGTTTGCAAAGTCTAATTTGTTTCCTCAATCAGGCCAAGAGGGACTTGTATTTGGAGCTAACAAGATAAATCTTACCCAAATTTATTTAAAGTGAGACAAAATAAATATGCAAAAGACTTCTAAAATCATATAACAACCACTTTCCAGCTAAAACTGACAATCCATTACTCTTTTAAATTGCTAGCGCTCGAGTAGGATGTCAGTTTTCGTTATAAAATTAACTCGCTAGTGCCAGCCACTGTCATCATCTTGTCCCTGCTCAGCAG